TTCCTAAAATTTGGAGGCAATTACCCCCAAAATCAATCCCAGAATTCCCTTTGTGATATGGAACATTGTGATACAATGTCAGAGAGATCCATAGACTTGAACACAAGTTATTGTCTGGAAACTAGAAAAATGCTTAGTTTTTTGCCCCTTTTTGGCCCCTAATTCCTAAAATTTGGAGGCAATTACCCCCAAAATCAATCCCATCATTCCCTTTGTGATATGGAACCTTGTGGTACAATGTCAGAGAGATCCATACACTTACACACAAGTTATGTCTGGAAGTTACAAAAATGCTTATTTTTGGCCCCTTTTTGGCCCCTAATTCCTTAACTGTTGGTACCATAACCCCCAAAATCAATCCCCACCTTCCTTTTGTGGTATTGAACCTTATGGTAAAATTTCATTGAGATCCATTTACTTAAACTAAAGTTAGAGTGCGAAAACTAATGTGTCTTCGGACGACGACGACGACGACGCCAACGTCATACCAATATACGACCACAAAATTTTTTTTGCGGTCGTATAAAAATCATACCTGTCAACAGAATTAAAAGGACCATCAAAAGCACGTATTTCATCTAAAACCTCTATTGAATTTTTAACACTCCAAAAATAATTAATACCATTATTTTTATAAGCTTTATTACAAAAGTTAATAAGTTCTTTGATAAAAGTAAGGGAGGTAGTTAGAAGCACTGACAGATTAGTAGTAGAACACTAATTAGATGCGGAGATGAAACGGAATTTTAATGGTTATTTGTGTAATTTCGGTAACCAGTACATAGTCGGGACTTTCAAATGTTCGGAAGAGGTTTTAAGCTGGGAAGTGGCAGCGATAAGCTTGTATACAATTTGACTCTCTGTGGAGCGTACGGACCTGAATGTAGACGAATTGATAATTTCGTTTTGGAGAACTTCCGTGTAGTATATGCGTCACACCACCACTACATTATTGGCTACTGTGTCTGCCGGTACGAACACAAACCGCTTTGCGAGTACTCTGAGTTTATTTATTATTCCATAAATGGGTATAATTATCATGGACCCTATTATTAATTTCAGAATGGTTTTCAAAATGACATATACGAATATCAACAGTATTCATAATTTTATTCAAATAACTGTCTATCAGATTTTTCACGTTTACACCAATTTTTACAGAAGGCAGACAAAGCGTCTTTAATGACCTGACGACACTGTTTCCAATCTATTATAGATGGAGGACGATATTTAGGTCCTTTCTTAAAAAAAGTTTTGACCTCACGATCTTCAACGATGTAATGACATGACCATAGGGAATATATCTAAAACTAGATGTTTCACAGTCTCAAGTGGAAGGAGCATTATTTTCTATATTGACGTCTGCTGTAACTGACGTATAATTAATAAAGAATACGAAATAATAGGTGGTTCTGTATTATCAAAATATGGAGGTATTTGAATATGGATAGTAGAGTCATTGAATATACTAGATACGTTAATAAACGTTAATAAAATCATAGCTCTATTCAAATATTTTAATTTAAGAAAACGACGTTTATGATTTTCAGGTTTATCGATACTAGGAAACAGCCTGTGATGACAAAAGGCTGTAATAATACGGGTGTATTCATACAACGGGCTAAAAAATGAAACTTTATCACTCCTGAAAAATAGCATATAATTTACTTATTGGTATATGACCCAGTTTGCATAATACTTGATGTCTACCATTATTTTTTATCATAGATAACAGATCAGCAAGTGTATAATTTATACGATGTTTAATACGTTGATTACGGTTTTTGCGTTTACCATGATACCTATTAGAATCATGTGCAAAACAGTGTAGCCGAGACCATTGATTGGCGCTCTAAAATATCCCATTGACTGGGTCAGATTAGGTGAACGTTCGTCTGTAACGCCCACAACTCACGACGTATTTATTATAAACATTTAAACTGTGGGGTTGCCAAAGGGTCTCAGTATATATACGAACTACAGTGCACAGTATATTATATACATATTTTATTTGCGATCATAAAATGTACGAAGTCGTCCATTACTATGTAAATTGGGTCGATTAAAATAAAAGCTGAATATGTTTCTGTTGCCAAGGGTTTTTCACAAGTATAGTAGTTAGCAGAAAAGATCATCAAACTATACATTGTATACTGAACTGCGGCCAAGCTTAGCGAATGGTCGTGCAACATAATCAGTCAAACAAACTTTATTAGATTAACTCGTTAAGGAACGAACGTTTTCATTGGTCAATTCAAACCTTCGACCTCACACCTGCGAAAATAGAACACGCGTACTATAAAGCTGAATGGACTGATCAGTATTCACGTAGCCGGTCAAGGTCGTTAAAAACTTCCATCGTCGTATTCACGTACATGATTGTGTTCTTGATTATCCCATGGCATTTCTAGCTTTTATACATGTGCATGTAAAATTTTAAACTTTAATCTTAACAGTCACGTCGAAATATTTAATTCAACTGTCTCCTCTCAATTGGTTCTGGATTAAGGGAGCTACCATTTTATTTTGATTGGGGGTAGGGGACTTGGATGAAACATTTTGTCCTGCATTTTTTTTAGTTGTTATCTCTGTCCTGTCTGTCTATTTTTCAGTCTGTTAGGTCCTGACTATATTTATTAGTTTATCCTGATTTTTTTACATAAATCGTCATCCTGCCTATTTTTTGTCAAGTTGCTCACCCTGCCTTATCTTTTATCCAATGGACTTGATGAATTAACGTTATACTTGAAATGAAACCGTACTTAACTACAAAAATAACCAAATTACATACTAAAGATATTGCTCGATTTTTATAGTAAATGGGTTTGTGTTATAAACTGTCATGTTCATTATTCATATTCTTTCATAAGTTTAGGATAGTGTGATTTTTTTTCTGATTTAGTTTACTTGATTTTGAAAAAAAAATCCCGAAATTCTAAGTAAATTCAGAACATGTAACCAGCCATGCTTTGTTTAGAGAAAAAATGGAGATGGCAAACCATGGCACAGTGGAAGGAAATGTACTTTATAAACTCCAGCGATATACTTTCTTAATTTATAATTAACTGTTTTGCTATCCTCGGTTGAAAATTATATATTGTAAATATTTAAATAGTTGCATAGAAAACAATCAGTTTTAAACAGTGTGGTTATTCACTAAATGTATTGATAAAAGGTGACTCCATTTTTGTACAGACTTTTACAGTAGTCATCCTTAATTTCTTAATATTTCGTTTATAAGTTTATCATACATGTATGATTTTGTATTTCATTTTAATACGCACGCATGCCACACGTTACTTTGGCGGATAGTTCAACAATGTTATGCAAAGCTCTATTCTTACGGTATGAAATTAAAGGATAAATTTTCAACCAATTAAAGTCGAAAACAGTACATTTATATAGTTCCTTATAAACTACGACATTTCTCACAAGTATTTATTTATTTTTTAGTTCCACACATGCAAAAATAAAATCTTCGCCGATGAAACATTTCAAACCTTTTTACACCAACATGCCTTCACTGAATTCATTTGAATTTCGTGGTGACCATGATAGTACATTGCATAGTACATCTATATTCACGTGCACACATGATACGATCTTTCGGGGACAATTTGCTCGTTTATGACACGTCATTTCTGAATGACCAAACGCTTAGCTACTTTATTTTCGTTTTATAGCATGAAAACAATAAAAGAGGAATGTGCAACCCATCATAAATTTAAAATGGATCAGTATTATGAGATCCTTATTATAAGTAACTACGACATTGTCAGGATAAAAACCTAGCGTCAATATGAAAGAAATTAAAGTGGTTCATACATTCATCCGTATAAAGCCGCACACGTATTTTATTTTATCCTTATATTTTTCATAGTGCGGTACAAGTGCTGCATGCATAAAGAATATTACTTAACACAAATTATTAGTATAATATTTCGACCCCACTATTTGAAATTCACAAAATACTTATTTAATTATTTCGACCAAAAATCATTGTTTTTTTACGTTCGTAGTAACGTAGTACATTCCATTGTCGGTCACTCGTGTCAATTCACGTGCACACTACAATTGTTGTTGTATTTAAATCTTTCGGCCAATGAAATGAGACGTTACAAGTTGTTTGTTTGTGATACGCCAGAATGTTATCAATGAATTATCAATCGCTAAACTTGACTGTACCTATTCAAAAACGTAAATGCAAATTTCATAAGGCTTGATCCAAATAGCCTTTTTACTGTCTAATAACTTGCAAGTACGAAAAAGACAGGAAAGAAGTATTATATTTTGTCTATATGTTTTGTGTTTGCACACTTTTTAAAGTTGATCATGCATTCGTTCTAAAATAAAATTTTGACCAGATAAAAGTTAAAAGATGACATAATTGGACAACCGCAATTGTTAAATCGCTTTGACGTCCGAAAAAAAGATAATAATCAACACATCCATTGTAACTTTTAAAGCCAGTTAAATTCTTTTTGCTGAAAGAACGTCCGATATCATAAAAATTCATTATCAAAACATAACAAAAACACAAGTAAAGAACGTTTAAGTATTCAATATAAATCAAAACACAAAGGTTATTCCTGATTAGTTTTTCGAATTATTTTATTTAGGCGTTGAGACCCTTTGGTGATCCCACAGTTTAAATGTCTTTAATAAATACGTCGTGAGTTGTGGGCGTTACAGACGAACGTTCACCTAATCTGACCCAGTCAATGGGATATTTTAGAGCGCCAATCAATGGTCTCGCCTACACTGTTTTGCACATGATTCTATTTCTTAGTCGTTTATCGACAATATTAATGACATCGATAGAAGTTTCAGATATGTTCCCCTGTCCCAATATTTTGTCATTGAGACCGAGAGGATAAGCTGTTTGAAGTCTTTTTATCCAAAATAGTTCGCGAATTTCACGGGATTTTTCAAATTGCTTGTGTGATTGTCCTGGTTGTTTCTGAACGTTGAAACGTTCTGAAATTGTTTATAAGACTAACCTGCCCAAATAAGATGAAGAGCTTGTGCTTTTCTGGCTATCACTTTGACCCAGATACGACCATCCTGGGCAACAATATCAACCACAAGACTATCTCTCCTATCTTTACATCTGAATGGACGCAGAATCTTTCTGACTTTCGGTAAGTTGGTAGCAGCATGGATAATAGCAGAAAAGTGACTGAGGTTGCTGCTTTTTAAATCATGTTCTCGAACCTTTATATCGAATTCGGTTACTGCTTTCTTTCTTTCCTTCAACTGGAAATGTAATAAAATCCATTTCAACAGTTAAAATCTTCACAAAATATCAACATTAACGATAGCATTATTCTTCATATGCTTTAAAAGTCCGTTATACTTTTTTTAGTAAAACAGTTATGTAATAATCAATCCTTACAATTTAAAGAAAATGATTGTTGATGCACAACTTGTAGAACAATTTGTCAACTGATAAAGGAATAAGATAAACTTCATGAAAAGCAGCAGCAATATGAGTATTATAATTATAAGAGAACACAGACTGATAAATAATACAGATATATCTAATTTTCTGTTTACAGAGAGGTACATTTAGACTACATAATTTTTGTTTAACCTTAAACAAATTTCTCTATCTCTCTCTGGTTCTCTTTTTATAACTTGGGACAAGGTCCTAATTTTAAGGAATATTCCCTTTGCTAAGTTACAAAGGTGCATCTACCAGAAACTGGTAAAGCGGCTACCGAATAACTTAACATACTGATGACAAGTGTAGGAGTTACTTATCATGAGGTACATGTCAAAGTGAGAGTTACTTATCATGAGGTACATGTCAAAGTGAGAGTTACTTATCATGAGGTACATTTCAAAGAGAAATTAAGCTGCACTGTTAGTATGCTACAAATGTATAGCTGTTTAACTGTTAGTACATGTGTAGTACAATACATTTGACGATAATTAAGAATATACGTCACAGAGTTACTTATCATGAGGTACATGTCAAAGTGAAATTAGGCTGCACTGTTCGTATGCTACAAATGTATAGCTGTTTAACTGTTAGTACATGTGCAGTACAATACATCTGACGGTAATTAAGAATATACGTCACAGTGTATACATGTAGCTGTTTAACTGTACCGTATAATACAGCTGCTTAACAACTCATGAGTTATAAAGTAAGCCATGTTGTAATAAACAGCTGCGCCATGAGCGCATTATACTCCCGTCGTTTATTCAAAGAATAAAGTTCAATAACTTCTCAATGTAAATTTAAAAAAAACTAAAGGGAAGTTATCTTAATAGATACATTGTATAAACCAGTCACCAAAGTTTAATGAAAACTGCTCAAAGCACTTTAAAGATATTGTCTGAAAACTAGAAAATCACCCCTTTTTATGAATAAAATTCCATTACTCGGAAAAGTAAAATCTAAAATTTATAAAAATCGAAAGGGAGCTTACGTCAATAGATATAAACTATTCACCAAAGTTTCATGTAAACTGCTGAAAGCATTTTTGAGTTATTGTCCGAAAACTGGAAAATCTCCCTTTTTTTAATGAATAAAACCCCATAACTCGGAACGTAAAATCAAAAATTTATAAAAATCGAAAGGGAGCTCATGTCAATAGATATAAAAAAATCATCAAAGTTTCTTGTAAAAGTGGTGAAAGTGTTTTTGAGTTATTGTCCGAAAACTGGAAAATCCCCCTTTTTTCAATGAACAAAACCCTACAACTCGGAAACGTAAAATCTAAAATGTATAATAATCAAAAGAGAGCTCATGTCAATAGTTATAAACAATTCACCAAAGTTTCTTGCAAATTGGTGAAAGTGTTTTTGAGTTATTGTCCGAAAACTGGAAAATCCCCCTTTTCTAATGAATAAAACCTCCATAACTCGGAAACATAAAATTTTAAATTTACAAAAAACGAAAGGGAGCTCACGTCAATAGAAATAAACAATTCCCTAAAGTTTCATGCAAATTGGTTAAAGCGTTTTTGAGTTATTGTCCGACATGTGGACGACGGACAGACGGACAACGGTATACCATAATACGTCCCGTAAACGGGCGTATAAAAACTTGTATAATTCTGTATTTGATTTAGGTACAATAAAATTATCTGATGATGAAAGTCGAGTATTGTACGATTGTTTACTATTTGTAGGCACAATAAGGTTACAGTGGTGATGAGATAGGGTATATGAATGAAATAACACTTTATAAATTAGTTGCGTCCAAAGCGCTTTTCTGGACATATCTTCATCATTATAACGACCTCAATTAACTTTACACGATTGATTCTTTGAATAATTTCATTAGCAAAAACTTCAGTTGATAATTCTCTCTTTAGCATTTTCCTATATTACTAGATTAATTTCCATTCGTTACTTTACCTGCAGTTCGTATGCAACCTATATGGCTTCATATTTGATGGGAAGAAAATCAAAAAGTAAGATTCTTTCATTAATGGAATCAACAAACACTTAAATGTACTTATCCTGACCATCTATTTATGTTGAAAGTCTTAAATATGATTTTATTACTACAAGTATCACATAAAATAACATTGATGATCAAAGAAAATGAGGTCAAGGTCAGTTGAACCATGCCAGACAGATGTGTACACCTTACAATCATTCCATACACCAAATATAGTGGTCCTATCGCTTATAGTACCCGGAAAACAGACAAAACCACATTATCTTAACATTGACCAATGAACCATGCTAATGAGGCCAATGTCATTTGAACCCTGCCAGAAAGACATGTACACCTAACAATCCTTCCATACACCAAATATAGTTGACCTATTGCTAATAGTATCTGCTGCACTGACAAAACCAAGAAAACTTAACACTGATCAATGAACCTTAAAAATGAAGACAAGATCATATGTAACCGACAAGACAGACATGTACACCTATTAAACATATTAAACAATCATTACACACAAAAAATATATTGGCCTTATTGCTTATAGTATCTAAGAAATAGAGGAAAGCACAATAACTAATTATATAAAGAGTCCACTGAACCATGTCAAGGCCAAATGAAACCTCCCAGTCGGACATGTACACCTTACAATCATTCAATACACCAAATGAAGATGACAGATTGCTTATAGTATCTGAGATACGGACTTGATCACGAAAACTGAACTTTGATCACTGATTCATAAAACCGAAGTCGAAGTCAAAGTCAGATAAAGCCTGTCTGACAGACATGTAGACCAAATATTGTTGTGCTATTATAGGCGAAATAATTACGGTTGACATACTTAGAAGGCATGTTACGAATGATTCCAACAATAGAAATAGGCGTTTTATACACCATTTTTTCGATAATTTAATGTAGATTTACAAGAAAACAAGTTTCAGTGGGATAGATAACCGCAGTGTGACATTTCTCAAATATTCGAGTAAGGTACCTTGTGTTATATTAAATTATATACTAGTAGGTAAATATTTTTCAAAAACAAGTGCCTGTGCCCCACCCTACCCGCCAAAACACACACACAAATTACTCATCATATCTATACTTGCAAGACACAGGTCAAACACTACACACACGTATTTATCTTACAATCCTCATTTTAGTTTTCAACAAAAAAACAAAGATTGATTTTCCCACTTTACATCCACCAGCTTACGGTTACAAAAAATGTTGGTAATATCGACATAAAACTATTAAATTCGAATTTGCCGTTAGTCAGAGGACAACACAAGAGAATAGCTTTTCACTCTGAGAACTCTGTCATTATTTCCTCTTTAATGCTTCATTTATTGTGTGATAGCTAAAATTAATTGTAAAAGGAGAAGCCGCAGGTGACCAGTTTAAGATTGATTAACTAACAAATTATCAGGAGCTGTCATTATAGCAGTATGACAATGGTGCAGTAATGCTACATAGATATTATGTATCCATAAATAGAACAATTCTATTACACTAAGACTTCTTTCACTCTAAACAGTACATTTTTCATGATTCAAATAACAAATATATTTGCAACAAAATATAAGATCAATATTTTATGGGCATGTTCAAAGCTTAATGAGAGCTAAAACATAAACTTTAAACGAGTCTTCTTCTTTGTGTATATGTATTTACACCAAGTTTGATACCCTGCATTTATCATGCTTTTCAATAACATGGCGTATCTAGTACATATACAACATATATACTATACGGTACTAATGATATGTATCGAAATGAACAGAACTTAACCGATTTTTATGCATAATGACAATGTCATTACCCTCAAACAGTTTAGTTTAGTTTAAACATATTTTATTGTTCAAAATCACAAATGGAGTTCAAAATAACAAATGGATTAAACACAAACAGTACTCTGGAGCACTTACTATATTAACATTTTTGCTGATTGAAAAGTTAGAAATTCGTTAAAATATAGCCCCGCCCACACAAAAAAGAATAAATTGAAGAAAATATTCGTAAGGGTTCCGCGGAACCCAGTGTCTCGCCTACTTTTGCTGTTAGTCGCAGGCTCAACAAAAATGGGGGAAAAATTATTAAAAATTTTCCTCTACATACTATCTTTTGATTGTAAGAAGCTTCTGTCCAAGTTTGGTAAAAATCCAGGATGGTGTATGAATCTAATAAATGTTTTAAAAACTTTAACTGCAGACTGTATGTAATGTTAACTAGAAGAAAAACTAAGTCCATTTATAAGTAATATACGGAAAAACAGGAAATAAATTTTTACCAAATTCCCTTCTATTTTTTTTTTTTTTTACAAAATTTACTTCTGGATACTATCTTATGATCATAAACAAGCTTCTGTTCAAGTTTGGTAGAAATCCAGGATAGTTTAAGAAAGTTATTAAAATTTCAAAAACTTTAACCACAGAGTGAATATTTGTTGAAGCAGCCGCCGCCGCCGCCGACGACGACGACGGAATGTAGGATCGCTATGTCTCGCTATTGCAACAAAAGTCACAGGCTCGACAAAAGGAAAAGTTGAACGACAAATACATGTATGTTTGTGCATGTTACACAAGACGAATAATACAATATGGTGGTGTATTATACATGTATGTTACACAAGACGAATAATACAATATGGTGGTGTATTATACATGTATGTTACACAAGACGAATGATACAATATGGTGGTGTATTATACATGTATGTTACACAAGACGAATAATACAATATGGTGGTGTATTATACATGCATGTTACACAAGACGAATAATACAATATGGTGGTGTATTATACATGTATGTTACACAAGACGAATAATACAATATGGTGGTGTATTATACATGCATGTTACACAAGACGAATGATACAATATGGTGGTGTTTTATACATGTATGTTACACAAGACGAATAATACAATATGGTGGTGTATTATACATGTATGTTACACAAGACGAATGATACAATATGGTGGTGTATTATACATGTATGTTACACAAGACGAATAATACAATATGGTGGTGTATTATACATGCATGTTACACAAGACGAATAATACAATATGGTGGTGTATTATACATGTATGTTACACAAGACGAATAATACAATATGGTGGTGTATTATACATGCATGTTACACAAGACGAATAATACAATATGGTGGTGTATTATACATGCATGTTACACAAGACGAATAATACAATATGGTGGTGTATTATACATGTATGTTACACAAGACGAATAATACAATATGGTGGTGTATTATACATGTATGTTACACAAGACGAATAATACAATATGGTGGTGTATTATACATGTATGTTACACAAGACGAATAATACAATATGGTGGTGTATTATACATGCATGTTACACAAGACGAATGATACAATATGGTGGTGTATTATACATGTATGTTACACAAGACGAATAATACAATATGGTGGTGTATTATACATGTATGTTACACAAGACGAATGATACAATATGGTGGTGTATTATACATGT